ATTTTATGTATAAAAACCCTGAGAAATGACATTTATTTCTAATGGTATTTAAATAAATGCATAGAAAACAATTTTGGAAGTATATACACCCAACTGATAACAATGGTTACCTGTGGTTTGGGAACTGGGAGGGGTGGTGTCATTACTTGCAAAAGAAAAAAGTAGCTTGTGCTAGTAATTATTTTGTTAATCGTCATTATCTGCCTGTTTTTCATGTGGGGAAACGGAGGCATGAGTTTCTAAACAGAAATATAATGTTAATTACAACAGGAGAGCTCTGAACTACTTGTCCATTACTCTTCTAATGAAAGGGATTGTTGTACCTCAGAATATTAGACCTGAACTTCCTACCAGTAAATGGGGAATAAAATGGAAAATTCCACATATGGGGCATATGGCTCCTCCCCAGGAATTCACTAATGATGTTTTCTATATAAAGAATGTTTCATGTCAAAAAGCTTAGTGTTCCTTTGAAAGGAAGAAACCAGCAGTGGATTTTTTGGAAAGGTAAACTATCAAATGGATACTTTGATGATAATGGATAATTTCTAAAGGATCTATCAACCAGTTTTGGCTGAAACTCAAGCCTGATAAAATAACAGGGACTCTTGTTCCAGTTTACTATACAAAATCTATATATTTAAATTCACTGAAAATATGCATCTATTTTCCCACTTTTCCCAACAAAATTCCTTGAAAGGCCTCATATATTATGACTTAGAAATTATAGCTTTCAACAATGCAGGCGAGTACGATGTGAGAAATGTTGCCCTTGATTTCTTTTTTTTTTAACTTTATGCACCTTTTCTTTAACACAAATAACTTTGCAAAGAAATAATAAACTAAATGAGCTGCAGAAGAAGCATGGACTTAGATCAATTTTCTGGCTGTGTAAGTGCCATTTGTATATAACCTGTATATAAAATAAATATAGTGTGAACACTTGGGGATTGTAAGGGAAGAAATCAGCAGTAACATTAAGTTCTGTTGTTCTACTGTGAAGTGGAAAC